GACAGTAAGAGAGAAATGGAGGAAAGAAAACAAGACCATAATTTATTGACTGGAGAGGCGTGTATCCCGGAGCAATAGGCCCACGACACAACACTGACATCTAGTGGAAGGAAAGCACACTGTAACTTTATGTTGGGGTTTGGGGTTTTTCGTTTGGTTGTATATTTCTGACATTTAATTTTTACAGAAGGTCAACAAATCAGTGTATCAGCATATATTTTACCAGAAAATGTTGCATTATTGTCATTGTTTAATAATTATTTTATTTTATCAATAACCATATAATTTACCAGGTAAATAATCTCAGATGTTTGAATCTTAAAACTGCCACTGATAACTGAGGAAACATCCAGCTAATCAGGAGAGAAGCTCTTTTACTCAGACTGATTCCACTGACTGCTGTGAAAAATGAGCCTAATAAAAGCCTGTCAGATAAACATCACTTCACATCCCAGAGTGCTATTTGTCAGACTAATGCTGCATGTCCTGAGGATGTCCAGCCATTTGTCAAGATCATGTCAAGATCATAAAACACAAGTGTTCTGTCTTTTTAATCCCTGTCCAATTGTCCTTTTGTTTTGTTTTTTTACACAATGTCATCTACACACACACACACACGCACACACACACACCATTAGAGGACCCAGAATGAGACACAGGTGAAGTCCCTGAGTTTGTGTGGGATGTTGAGCCTGTTTCTCATTGGTCTACAGACACTTCAGATAACAGACTTCATGTTCTACACTTCTGCTACAGACACACAGAAACATATTGTACATATATGACCTTCGCAGTTATGACATTTGATATACTTTCACTACAGGTTCTCTGATCACTTACTTTAACAAACAACAAAATCAACTAATCTTATAATTACTGTTACTAATTACTATAATTACTACAAACAGATCATCCAAACTATTTATACTAAATCAAATATTACAGTTCATCTTTTTTAATACTTTTAATACTTAACAAGTTTTATTTATTGACCTGACCACAGGTTATGAGGTGACACATGTTGGGAAACCAAGAGAAGTCAGGGAGCGTCACACAGTTCCACTACAAAGAATACATATTTCCCGATTAGTCAGTTTTCTGTCAATAACAATCGATCACTGATAGTATTTTATTCTTTGTAAAGTCGTCCATTTCAGCAGCAGTTACTGCCCTGAGTCTGCTTGTCTTGTCCCAGCCACACGGGGGCACTGTTGATCTTGGTGCTCTGGGACTTGGCCTCTGCTGACTGTGAATTTATTCCCCCTCCCTCGCTAGAAAGACGCTTGTGGATCTCGGAGGCCATGGTTAGAAAAGCTCGCTCCACATTATCAGAGCTCTTAGCACTGGTCTCCAGAAATGGGATCTTGAGAGATGAAGCCAGGTCCTGACGGGGGCAGAGGGAGTGGGTGGGGGGGGGTATGTTATAGATATGACCTGAGCAGCCTTTGTCATCACTCTGTTAATGTTGGGCTGCTCTGTTACCTGAGCAGTGGCAGCGTCCACCACTTTCCGGCTGATGACATCAGACTTGTTTCCCACCAACAGTCTGGAGACGTTCTCACAGGCGTATCGATCAATCTCCTCCAACCACTGCTTCACATTGTTGAAAGACTCCTGAGAGAAAGATCAATGTTAGAAAAAAATACCCCAATTTAAAGGAGCCCTCACCATTAGATACAAGCGGAGGCTGAGTTAATAAGAATACTGTTTATTATTTTTACAGTCGCACGCTGGTACAGAAGTTTACTAGAATCAAATCATTAGTTGTTGTGTGAACACTTTCTCTTCACACCAGCATTTATTCTTCTGATTAATGATTCAAACACACACACACACACACACACACACTGACCTGCTCGGTGACATCATAAACAATGATTATCCCATGAGCTCCTCTGTAGTAGCTGGAAGTGATGGTTCGAAACCTCTCCTGACCTGCTGTGTCCCACTGATGGACCCAAACACACAAACGTCACATGATGTTGTGTCCAGTCTTACAGCCCGGCCTCACACTGCACATGTTCAACACCCAAACTCTTACGATCTGCAGCTTCACCGTCTTCCCGTCCATGTCGATGGTCCTGATCTTAAAGTCCACTCCGATGGTGGAGATGTAGCTTTCTGTGTAGGTGTCGTCCTGTCACAGTGGGATTCAAGAACATTCATCGTGCTGCTTTGACACTCAACATCCAGATGTTAGGATCAGAAGTCCGTCCGACTGAACTGTAAGCGGTGAGTGTGTGTTTGAAGCCTACCGCAAAGCGTAGCAGCAGACATGACTTTCCAACTCCAGAGTCACCGATCAGCAGAAGTTTGAACAGGTAGTCACTGGACGTAAAGAATTAAACACACACAGTAAACAAAGTGTGTGTGTGCAACAACATGAAAAGCTCTTGTTGCTTCTCCCTACATAGAAGAAAATAATCCAGAGATAAGACTGAAGCAGTGAGCAGTTGAAGTAAATCCCTGAATAAGAGCCTGTGATGTCACATGGTTGTACGTTGTTGTTTATTAATGTTTAACTGAAACAACACGGTGACTGTTGTTTCACATGTATTCTGGCAGCCGTCATTACCCATCAGCCCCTGTAGTGCACTGACGCAATTGACCAAACATCAATACAGGGAATGAGCGAGGCCTTTCAAACACCAGCACCTCCACCAGCCTGGTCCCAGCCGACACAACCAGCACATCTGTCACTGGTAAAGGAGGAGGAAATGAAAGGAGGCCCCGGGACCAGGACCAGGACCAGGACCAGGACCAGGGCCAGGGCCAGGGCCAGGGCCAGGTTTCTCCAGGTCCTGGACTCAGCTGTAGCAGGAGCAGAAACACACAGTAACACTGAGAAGGAAACAACACTTACTATTCAGGATTCATGATGACCAAGGTCCAGGTGAACCCCCCCCATAAACAAACTGAACTGAAGACACTTTGATGTTTCGTCCTCCTCTGTTGTCTGTGTGTGTGTGTGTGTGTGTGTCCAGTGGAGGGCCAATGGCAGTGAAGAGTTGCTGTCTGCCTTCAGGTCTAACAGGTGAGCTGACTGCTTCAAATACATCATTTATTAATGAGGAGCAGCTCAGGTTACTGTGGGGACAGCACCTGACACACACACACACACACTGTCTCTGTTGAACTATGAAACTAGCTTCTGTGCTGTTGTGGTCGTTGTTACACTGAGTCACTGTGTTAAAGTAGAAGAATGTTTGAATGTGACAGAACAAACAGGTTGTAAATAAAGGTTCAGTTAAAGCTCAGCTCCACGAGTCCTGGTGTCCTCAGCAGAACACAGGACACTTGTGATGTCACGTGAATGATGGAATGAAAACTATACTCTTCTGACATGGATGTTTGAGATATGAGCCCATTCATATTAATGACTGGGACTGAAGACTTCTGTAAAGATCTAGAACTATTTTCCAGCGTCCTGGTCCTTTCTTCCTTTCCTCCCCTCACCAGCGTCAGTCCGGGGTACTCTGCCTTCTCTCCTCGTTCCTCGCCCTTCTTCTTTTGTCTGCCGACTTCTTTCTCTCATCTTTTTCAGAATCAGACAAAAGCGAAAGCAACCCGGTTTGATTCACTGCTGACTCCCGTGTGTGACCCACCCCATGGTCACGGGAGCGAGCAGAGGGCAGGGGATTGTGGGATGTGCGATGGCTGAGCAGCTGTCTTGGGGTCAGAGGTCAGCAGCCCTGACTACGGCCTGTTGCTGCGGCAGAGGCGGCAGCACGGTGGTTGCTAGGGCACAGGCAGGCTTTGTGGCAGCCCTCGGTGGAGCATGGAGCTGGGAAAACTGGGGGAAGGGAAGGAGAGAAAGGGAAGAAATAAAGAACGACAAGATAAATTGACAAAGAGAGAAGGTTAAAAGCTCAGGATGGGTGGGAAAAAGAGGGCAGAAAAGACGAGGAGAAAGAGGAGACCACAAAAAACAAGCACAGAGATGGAGAACAGAAAACTGCTGGTGACATCAGCTATAACGTTAGTAATGTTAGTTTTTATCTCAGTCTTTATTCAGAATATTGTTGACAAAGAAGTCGTATTGATTGAAAAAACTGAAGCTTTTACACATGAACAAACCAGCAGTCAGAGGTAGTCCTGGTGTGTGTGTGAGTGTGTGTGTTTGTGCTCACAGGTCAGTGGATGGAGTTAAACCGCTCATTGTTTTCATCAGTGTTGGTCTCCAGGGACCTGAGGGACCGGGGATAAATAGCCGCTTTTCACTATTCACCTTTATTTTACCACGCTCCCTGAATTCAGCAGTATGTGGTGCATGTTGTGTTTCTGTGTGTGTGTGTGTGTGTGTGTGTGTGTGTGTGTGTGTTTATGGCCACTTTAAACTATTTTTATGACAAACACTCAGCTATCAGACTGGTTTCATGCCAGTTTCACTGGTTAATGTGAGGGTAACTTGTTTACCTTCTCTGTTTTGCACAAGAGTAAAGTTTTCACCAATCCAAACACTGCATCGCTTGTGTGTGTGTGTGTGTGTGTTTTTGTATCTGTCTGTGTGTGTGATTTATGTGCAGTTACTCTGTCACTTTGTGTCGGGGGAAACGGGGACAGCCCCCGGGCCAATTAGAGGACAGATAATTAACCTCATTGAGTCTGGATGTGAATGAATGACTTATTGTGAAGAGGCAGAGAAATGAGGGAGTGGGGGTGAATATCTTCACATGATCCACACAAGGAAGTGGTCCACATGTGGAGTCGACTGAGTGGAAGAAGGAAAAAACTCTGAAACAACGTCCGTCGGCCCAGAAGCTGATCGTTAGTTTAATTTGATTGACCTGAATAATTAGACATTATTTCCCACTCAGGAGGAGCTGCCCTCTGCTACCAGACAGTGCAGTGTCACTGTGTGCTGTGCTGGACTGAGGCTGGTCCTCCACAGACCCTTAACTGCAGCTCACTGCAGAAAATGACTGGAGTTTTTATTTCAATTTGAATGAAATAGAAAAGTCACACACCTGATCACAGGACCCTGTAGTTCAAACTCACAA